ATATATATAAAACCATAGGTGCATTTTACTGTTTTGTATTTTCATTTTTGGAGATAGTGTACACAGCAGGTAGTGATGAGTATGATGAGTGTTGTGCTGTTGCTTTTGCAGTATAATATATAGTTCTAAACGTTTAAATTACTGTAAATACTATATTCATTATAGGCTAGCATGCTTGTTTTAAAGACTGTCGTTCTAGTTTATTAAAATCTGAATGTAAGAAAACTTGGCTATTTAAATGTGAATTGAAAAATATTCCCTTCTTAGTACTGAACTATTTCCATTGAACATTCAGGATTTTTAACAAAATAGATATCATCCAGAAGGCAATAGCTAGAGAATGAGAGGTGCCTTTTAAAAAATACAAATGCAGCCTTACAGTGCGGGTGAGGATGGGCTGGGAGGGGGGAGAATGGGCACGCGTAGGCCAGTCCGCGAAGGCCCTGATTTGTGACCATCAGTGTCTTTTTAATGTGTCTGCTCAACTGCGAGGACATCAGGGGACATTCCGTGCGCTTTGTGCTCTTCTGAGCACCATTTATACTTCCCAAGATTTTTGAATGTGAATTCCTAAAAATTTCAGTAGAGAAGAAAGTAACTTAATTATAGTCAATGCAGGTAAAAGGATGAATTACTAGTTCACCAACATTATGGGATCTCATTAATACTGGCTAAGTAAATGTAATTTTTAAAAGCTCACTATTTTTTAGTACTTCATATATTTTCCCTTACACAAGAGCATGTCATGAAATTCTTATGTAATAAAGATTCAACTAGTAAAAATTATTTTTGGATTAAACACCTTGAACTAGTTATAATTCCACCTAAGAATAGTATTTAAATGGCATCTTTCATATCTACCTCTTTCTCATTGCTGCCATTTTAACTGAAGCAAATCTTTACGACATTGGAAATGATGGCTGGATGCAACTTAAAAATCTGTGTTGGTGCTTTTCTCAGGCTTTGTCATTTAAGTTATATTGAACTAAGATGTCACAAATCAGATCAAAAGACTTAATTTTGGTTTCCTTTTTAAAGAACTGCTTAAATTTTATCATCAGTGTTGATAGTGAGTCAAGATGGTTAATCTCTGGTTAGTTTGTGTCTGTGTGATGTTTTCAACCAAGAGCCAAACTGTTACTGAATTTATATGAAGAAAGAGCTCTAAGTATAATTTTCTTCAGCTTATTTTATTCTTTGAAAGCTGTTTCAAGGCTATTAAGTACATAATCATTCATTTTATTTACTCAGCAGTTGCCTCCATTACTACGTTACTCATTTAGTTATATCATTGCAGACCTTTAAGTGTTTGACACTGGGGTTCGGGTTGTACAAAAGTAGTTGTTGACACAAATTATATTTTTGTGAAATGTATCAATTCCCAAAGTTGGTTTTAGGGGAACGTCCCTAATACTTAACAGCTGTGTTTAAAAACAGAGGATTGGTCCTTGGTAAATTATTGGAATAATTTTTACTTTTGCCACTGAAGGCTTTTTAATTGGCCGTATTCATTATCCAACTGGGTCTCCATGTCAGTGTAAGGGACAGAAGGTTGACAAAGTGTTTAACAAATCACATCTTTTTTTTTAAATTCTTAAAAAAGCAAGTATTAGGCCAGAGATCCTTAGATCCCATTTATTTATTCTAGCAGTATTCCTGAAGTAGTGCTTAGGGGTCAGAATTTTCCAGATCTTTGCTAATCAAGCTTTAGACTTGATTTAACTGGGACCACAGGCTTGTCATCCCTCTGATGCAAATTAGAAAGTTCATTTTACTTTAGATTAACTGTAATGTCTGCCTGGGTTTTTAACAGGCTGTGAACCAGTGAGTGCCTTGTTTATGTAGAATGATTCTTCCCTGGTTGTATGTTAGCTCCTCTCTGAAGATGTCTCAGAGAATGGTATTTTAGTTGACTTGTAGAGAGCTGCTCAGTTTGGTGTTATCAGCGACTGGAAAGTCTTCAGCGTGTCGCACGCCTCCCTCTCTACTTTCTTCTCATTGTTCGGCTGAAGTTGGCCTCTTGCGAGAAACTAATACAGTCCCCTTTCTCCACAAACTTTTTTCCAATCCACATGAAGAGTTATCCCCTATACCCATCCCAACTATGTGATCTAATAACTGTTTTTAGGAGGAACCACTTCTTTGTAATCCTGAAATCTATTGGTTATTCTACGTTTTTTTCAACTTCAGTTTACTAGAGCTGACCTCGGGGCATCATCAGTTCAGATTCCTAAATAACTCCTTTTCTCCACCCACTCACCCCCAACTGGTGAGCCCTGGGCCAGAATGTTTGATCTTCAGGTATTTTAAAAACTAGGTATAATATCAATTAATGTAAATTAATCCAAATGCTAATTTTTGTGGTGCAAGAAGTTTCTTTTGTAAATTCAGGGTATGGATAAGCTAATTGAGATATCCTTTTTTGGTGGCTCTGAGTGTATTATTGTTTTTAAATAAAGTGTACAAATATAGATAATGTGCTATAGGTGTCTCATGAATTGAAATATTTGTCAGATTTGGAATATAGTGGATTTGTAGTTAAAATACTTTAATACAACCTAATTTTGTTATTTTTTGGAGGTAGTAGAGGGGTACAGAGAAATAAAAGGGTATTAGACAAAGTAGATGTGAATCCAGAATAATGAACCAATTGTGAGAACAGTGGAGAAGTTTATCATTACAGAGAGTTTGGACCTTTGGAAAGCCAGTAAAATTAAAATACCCCATAAGATTGGATCAAGGATACTTTCAGGGACACAGGTTTATTTTTTCAAGTGTTCAGTTATATAATTTTTAAAAATTATA